GAATCGTAGTCAAATGGTATTTATGTTTCATGGAAAAGAGGATATAGGTCCCAAAAGACTCTTTTATTATATCCATAATCATGCAACTCGCCGGGGCCGGGTGACAAGGTCCTTTTACGTAATCAAAATAAAAACAATATATTCACAGACTAAAATAAATGAAATCATCAATAGGTTAATAATCAAAAATGTTTAACTTAACTAAATTTCCAATGTGAGATTTCGACAAGTTAATTAATAAAACAATAGGTCTCCAAAGAAAGAGATATCATCTTTATTACATATCTCTGTCTTTAGACAAGACAGATAAAGAGAAAGGACCTGTGAAAATAGGCAATATTCGAGATAACAAGGGAATACGGCGGACTGCGGAGACAAACTATAAGTTGTCAAACGAACTCATTTTCTATTTATGTAGATTTTCTTAAATATTTATTTATTTTTATATTTTACAAATTAACATTTAAGGAGTTTCTTCAGTTTACAATATTTTCTAGATTCTCTTAAACTTTACCATAAACACTACCAAACGACCCAAAGAAGTCTCCAGGACACAAAGACCCAAAGAAAGTTACCTAGGACCCAAAACCAAAGAAATCTACAGGACCAAAGACACCAAAGAACGTCCTCCCAGGACCATAAGAGAGTCCTCCCAGGACCCAAAGACAGTTACCCAGGACCCAAATACCCAAAGATATGTCTCCCAGATCTAAAGACCCAAAGACAGGTTACCCAGCGAACCCAAGATAGTCCTCCAGGACCGAAAGACCCAAGACAGTTACCCAGACCGAATAAAAAAAAAAAAAAAAACAAAAAATAAGTACAAAAAAAAAAAAAAGAAAAAAAATATAAACAAAAAAAAAAAGAGACAAAAAAAAATAAAAAAAAAAAAAAAAAAAAAAAAAAAAAAGTAGGAGACTTATGTTCCAAAAAAATCACGTTACGCTGCAATAATAGAGATCCCCCTGTGCCGACTAAAGAGTCAGGTCGAGCTGAGTAGGAAGTGTCTCGCTACTAACTTTGCGATAACTTAATGAGACTAAGATGAAATTTTTTGAGTCCAGCGTGACAGGAGCCGCCAAAGACATGTATTATTCTACGTGCGCCCCTCGAAGAGCTACGCGAAAGAACGCTATCACTAGCGTTACCGCAGATGAGTGCTCCCAGATTCCCAATGGATCTATTACGACACGACATAAGCTCAGATTAGACTGTTCCATCGTCCAAGGACACTACACCGGCGCGGAATGAAAGGACTAAGTATAGCAAGTACTACTCCCGTTGCGGGAGATGGGAAATAGAGCTCCAGAGCACGTAAAGATCTAACATACGAGGTCACACCCAGCCAAGACAGGTTACCCAGAACCCAGAGACCAAAGAGAGTCTCCCAGTGACTTCAAAGATATTAAAGAAGGTCTCCAGGACCCAAAGACTACTCCAAAGAGAGTCCTCCCAGGGAGCCAAAGACCTAGAAGACGTACTCCGCAGGACCCAACAACGATAGAGTTGTACTCTCTCGTAGGGCACTTGAGGATCGAGCTACGTCGATAGGACTATCTTCTTATATAGAGAGCAAGATCGACTCCATTTGTACGGAATTTATGTATCATTAACCTATACGATTTAGTGCTTAGGAAGTGGCCTTCCTTTGCCTAAAGTCGGAAAATTAAGGCAGAAGATACCTACTAGACGTATCATAGACTCGAAACCACAGATACGAGAGCATTCTGCTCATCAAGACGGGTTTCGTAAGGTTGGAGTATAAGATGCTCCCAGAAGTCAGTCTCTTAAAATGTTGTACAAATGCCGATTTCCCTCTGTGTACTTTCTGAATGGACGACTCATAACATAAGAGAGTCTCGCTCCAGGACCTAAAGCTCTTGAACAGAGGTATTTCCTATGATGCTAATACATAAATTAGAGTGACGTCGCCTTCTGAACGACTGCGGTAACCCAGGGGGAAATGCTTCCAAAAGACAGTCTCCAGACCATCAAATCTACCTTTACTCTAAGTCTCATAGCGATGCGGGCCTGATATAGACAATGAACCTAGTCTTCATCACGAACAAACACTAATCTGAAGCACCTCTAATTAGTTTTGCAGTTCACAACCATCTAATAATGTTTTCTATACCAAGTAGGACTACCTCATTAGTAGTTAACCCTATCAGATGATGTAGTACTACCACCCCCTGAGAACAACCAGCCAGAGTACTCCAAGAGCCAAAGACAGTCTCCCCAAGACCCAAAGAAAGTTCCCACACCCGCAGTCTAGTCGATCGGGCTCGATTTTTAATAAATCTACATTATTAACATTTGTGCGCGAGCGGGTGGCGAGGGTGTACGGCCCAGATGCCACTGCTGAACAGAGACAGACTCGTTCCACTGCGAAACAGCTCTGCCTCGAGACACACACCTCTCCAAAAGACACTATAAGAACCGAAATGGAGGACTAAAATCAGTAATGGGCTTTTTCAACGAGAAAAGTTTTATCTTGTTACATTTTGATAAACATGAATGGATAGGTCTCCGAGTATGTCGGAAAGCTCTTACAGACAAGATAGGATCGGACACCTCTCTTCGTCCACCGAGCGAGAACAATGGGAATAGAGCTCCCTCAAGAAGAGATTTTCTCACAGCCCAACAGATGCTCCTAATTAACAGTCTCACACAATAGGCACAAATGAGGTTCATAGCTAGAACCAGTTTACATTTTTTACTACGGACGACATTCACATGTACAACCTAGTTATCTATGGTCGCCACCAATCTCTGCAGTATTTTTGGGAGTAAAAATTGGTGTCACAAACAGAATCGTCTCTTTACAAATTTCTAACAATGTTTTTACTATGTAGTATTCGTTCCCGGCCAGGACACGAAAACGTATGAGCAATAATTAAGTACCACAGAGGACAAATAAAGCTACTGTGTTTGTTCTATATTATATTGTTTGAATATGCCCGCCCATTTACATTGCGTAGACCACGTATATTACTCAGATAGGGAAAAGAGAGAATCAATGAGAGACGAAGAGATTCTCACGTCATTTACGTGAGCTTCCAAGAGATAGAGGAAGGACTAGAGCCCGCCAGACGCCCGATGTACGACTTGTGCTGCGAGGGTCGACTGCGCAAGCAGCAACGTTCGTACCAAATAATAAGGAGAAGTAAGAATACAACGAAAATATCTCTCGTGATAATAAGGAGACTAAATACAATTATGTGAGGGAGAGACAGGCTTATAGCTATGACAATGCGCACCATCCACACTTTCGACTATTTCCTCTAACTCGACGCTAAGTCTGATAGAAGACTTCTCTCTCTTCTCGCGCTCGCTCGCGCCCTTTAAACAAGCAATAGTGCTCACCCATTTGCTACTACAAAAGTGCTTGTATGTCAGCATTGTACACACTTGGACCGAATAGCGACAATGGGAAAAGATGTTTAAGGGGGCCCCCCAAAGGTAGGTAGACACTGACACTAATAAATGAGTATTACATCCAAAAGAGCGTGAAGAATGGGAGCCCATGCGGAGATCCTCAACACTGTGTTTGGACTCGGAGATAACACAACGGCTCGGTTACGCTAATATACCAACATAGACCTACTTCTGTTCAGACAGAAAATCAGGAATCAACAAAGACGGGAAACCGAATTAGCAGAAGTTCACATCCCTGTTTCAGACACTGTCTGCCTCACTTCTGCCTTTCTTGATCCCAATTTGGGAAATGTTTGCGTTGCAGCAGCATAAAAATACATGGCATTGTTCATTAGAAAGATTACAAGACTAGAAATAAACAATCCAAAATGTACACATCTCAAATAGAAATGAAAAAGCATTAAAAAAGGAGAAAATATAGAAGTTGAAATACACATTTACAGTCACAAAATATATTCCTCAGGGAACAGGATCCTGTGTCACAGCGTCTGTAATAAACTGAATCTCCTGATCCTGGATGTGGTTTATAACGTCTGGCCCTCTGGAGTCTGGCCCTCTGGAGTCTGGCCCTCTGGAGTATGGCCCTCTGGAGTCTGGCCCCCGGTCCTCTGGAGTCTGGCCCTCTGGAGTCTGGCCCTCTGGAGTCTGGCCCTCTGGAGTCTGGCCCTCTGGAGTCTGGCCCCCGGTCCTCTGGAGTCTGGCCCTCTGGAGTCTGGTCCTCTGGAGTCTGGCCCTCTGGAGTCTGGCCCTCTGGAGTCTGGTCCTCTGGAGTCTGACTCTGACTCTGATTCTGATTCTCTCTGTGTTTCAGTTTACTACCGGGCGCTCGTTAACTTCACCAACTCTCTGGTGTATGGCCCGGAGCTCGAGGACATCTATTCCCCCGCCTTCAACGAGATCTCCGAGGCCATGGTGGACACGGTACGCCCCTCCACCCACCCTGCATCCTGCACACTCATATTGTTGATAATGTAGTAGGTTATATTTACTAAGTACTGTACTTTGCCTGACTATATTCCCTCTACATTTTACAAGCAAAAACTGAACTTTTACTGCACTTCATTTATTTGACAACTTTAGCTTTCTTTACAGATTCAGATTATTATTACAAAATGCGTTTTTAGGTTAACATTTTATATTTATATACATATTTGTATTCATATTTATTTGTATTGCATATTTTACTTTAACTTGTTGTTTATATAAATATTTTTATTCTATTTTATTTGTATTTTTTGTTGCATATTTTACTTTTACAATTTTTATTCTATAAAGTTTTCTTCTAATCTGGTGTGTTTTTCCTGCAGCTGGAGTCGGACTACAACCGGATCCCCGGAGTGCAGACGGTCAGCGTGGTGCTCATCAAGTAAGAGTCCTTTAGATCCATCAAAGCCATACATTTAAAAAAAAAAAAGTGATGATACATTTATGAGATAAAAGTTGTTTTGGAATAACAAGTATCTGCTGTTCCACGGCTGAAACACGGCTGAAACACGGCTGTTACAGCACTTTTTAAAAGTTTGTATTTACCTTCTTTACTTTGTTCAGTTGTATAAATAAAACAAAGAGACATGCCTTACGGCCCGTCCACACACAGGCATGAAAAAAATCTTTCAAAGCTTCGCCCATTCACTTGAATGGGGTGACGTAGAAGATTTTTAATCTTCGCTGAACTGCATTGTGGGGAGCGGAGTATGGCTTTGAAAGCATCGTGAAGATCAAAAGTTGAGCAATGTTCAACTTTTGATGCTCCCAATGCTTTCAAAGCTGGCATCAGCGCAATCAAATTCCCGTTTATGCAAATCCCGCCAGTGGCAAGCGCTAGCCAATCAAAACCGCGTGCAACTGGGAGAGCAGACCGCAGTTCATTTCCTCATATTCCAAACGAGATATTACGGTAGCAAATCACCCGGTTCTTTACGACCGGAACTATTTACCGGGATACAAACCGGAGGAAACCAGGCATGGAGGGAGGTGGCAGAGACAGTGGGTGAAACTGTAGTTTTCTCCTGTTTTGGGGAGTTTAATTCCAGTTACTTCGTTTTAACATTGCTTTGCTTTGTATGTCCGGGGGCCGGGAAGATTCAATGTGATTGGTTGTTGGTCGCGGTGGTCGCAAAAAAATCGCCAAACTTCCAGACACGCCCAGCGTTGCAACATTTTCAAGATTTTTTTCATGCCTGTGTGTGGACCGGGCATTACAGGTATGTCCACACGTCTCCGCCGTGCGTGCATCAACGGAGACGCTTCAACGGGAGAACGCTTCAACGGAGAGCGCTTCCCATCATCACATTTTGAATGGCGTGTGACCGTCACGCTTTGCCGAACTGCATTGTGGTTCCGTCCGCTTTGCCTCCGTTGCTCGCTTCCAAAGTTAAGAAAATTCAACTTTTTCAAGCGATCCCACTGGAAGCACCAGCCCACTCAAATCATATGCCAGCACAACTCTAGCCAATCAAGCCGCGTGCTTGTGTGTCCGGGCGGGAGATTCATGTGATTGGTTTGTTGGTCGACCCAGACAAGCCCATCGGCAAGCTCAACGCGACGCTGCCGTGTGGACGTACCGTTAGCTGTTTGCCCATCATCTTTCTTTTTTAATCTAAGATCAAACTTCTGTATTGCACTTTTTTGTTTAGACGCTTTGATTCAGAGGAGATTAAGGACACAGTCTAGAACCCCCCTGAAACCATCAGCCTGAAGCTGAACACTACATCTCCCCATGGATGCCGCCTTCTCTCATTGTTTCTGACTGTTTCCCTCTGCAGGAAGATGATCAGAGAGGACCGGCGTGGACGTGTCGTTGGAGCTGGACGTGGGTCCCGACTAGCAACGTAACGACGGAAGGCAGAATCCGCAGCGTCCTCGTACAACGTGGTGAATGGAGGGCGCCATCGCCTCCTACGTCACCGCTCAGTGCAGGGGCTTCCAGTTCAGACAGCTGGGGGAAGGTGAGGGTTCTTCTCAGAGGAGACGTTTAGTCCCGAGCGTCCAGGAAGTGTCTTTAAAGGTCTCTATCATGCTATTTATAGCATATATTATAGGTCTCAGAATACAATACAAATTATATAAAAACATGTCTATTAGTGTTTGCTCAAAAATACCAACCAGATCATTGCTCAGCCTCTTGATTCTGATTCTGGGTCTGTACTTTAAATATATATATATATATTTTGACCGCGTGAGCTTCCCAGTACTAATAGCTCTGAGTGGTTAGCATGCTAATGTAAAACAGACCACATTAAATTCCAGAACACGTCTCATTGTTTCCTGAACAGCCAAACGTTTCTGATTGGCCCGTGGGTAAAGCCCACCCAACATTTTAGTAATGTCGTCATGAACGCAAGCAAATTGGTCAGTCTCCGTTGTTCCCGTTTTTAGAGATGTGGGTCACGGAGGAAAAGAGAGAGGGGTTTATTTCTGACACAATCTTATGTAATAAAAGACAAATAAAAAGTGAATTTTTCATGATAGGAGACATTTAACTTCTCCTCTGGTTCTAGTTAGATACGCCCCAGTGGAGCCTATAGCAGTGCCAGGTTTGTAAAGTGCTCGGCATGGAGGCTGTAGACTGTAGCAGGACTGTAGTGCCTTTAGAGAGACAGCCCAGCGCATTCCTTCCCCCCCCCCCCCGTGGGGAAAAGATGACCTTTACTTTTGAGGCATGTTTTGCATGAAGAGCACCAATGTGACTTCTGAGGGTAGGCCACCGAGATAGGAGGGTCTTTGCATGGCATGAGTTTGGAGAGAAAGGCTGCTGGTCCTGCAGTAGATCTGTAAGATTCTGTAAACACAGGCATGGCAACTGATAGAGACCGTTTTCATTTATCTCCCTGTGAGCGAAATTGAGCGGCCCAGACCAAGCAAGAGGCAGAGGCAGAACGTCAAATAAAACTCGGTGTGGGCATTATTGCTTCACGGGCACATGACACACCTCAACTCGCTGTTCACCGTGGCACAGTCCACCAGCCACAAGGATTCACACACCAACAACAGGAGAACACAGAGCCTAAAATACCAACACTAATTAACCAACAAGACACAGGTGGAGGGGGGAGGAGACGAACACAGGGCACCAGGTGCCCACAAGTCAACAGCAACAGACCACGGGGAAAGGAACACTTTTCAAAGTAAACCCACATGTGGCAATATTAACAAGGCCCGAAGCCGTCAGTCCACAGTGACAGAGTTACCTTCGTCAATCTCCCACTCAGGAGCAGGGTTCACATCTCTCTGCTTTGGTTGTCCGACCACATTTAGCTTTCGCGCTCAAAAAGAGCGTACACTTTTAATGAAATCCCCAGTTTGAATAAATAGTGCCAGGTATTTGAGCCTAATACGTCTTCTGGTATGCCACGGCTTCAGAAAACAGGGAGTTGTCTGCAAAGAAATTGTTATATTGTATGTAATGTAATATGTTCTAATACATCCATCCCATCTTTCCCTATAGCCACAAAGTGAACGTTACAGCTTTACAGGAAACTCAACTGCAAAACACATATTTATAATAAAACATGAATATATATGAATATAATAATATCTCCTGTCCTCTTGAAGATCCCTCTGTACCTCCACAGCCGTAACTACATGTCCTGCAGCTCTGGTTCATGAGCCTGTGGATGTGAACTGTAGTGATGACTGCTAGTGATGTGACTGTAGGGTAACGGCTGGTGAGTACTTATGATTAACTGTAGTGATGTGACTGTAGGGTAAGGCTGTGATGTGACTGGAGTCGATGCGAGCGTAGTGTAACGCGCTGTAGCCTTGGCTGCATGTGTTGATGTTTCCATGATGCCCCCCTCTCCGCTCAGTACCCCCGCCATCAAGACCCTGCATGACAGATGAACACAGGTGGTGGGACGGCAACCTGCATCCCTGATGGAAGTATCTGTGTGACAATCGGGCCAAAGACTGCAAGAGACATGAGTGACTGAGAACAACTGTGGTGAGGTGAGAGACAGTGGCTGTGACACGGTATAAAATGGTGTCAATACGGCTGTAAGAAGGGCTTGGTAAATGGCTGTACACGGCTGTACATGGCTGTAATACCGGCTGTAATACGGCTGTACACAGCTGTACAATACTCGGCCCTGTAACATGGCTGTAACCGCAGCTGTAACATGGCTGTAACAGCGGCTGTAACACGGCTGTGAACACGGCCTGTAATATGGCTGTAACACGGCGTAAACGCAGCTGTAACAATGGCTGTAACACAGCTGTAACCACCGGCTGTAACACGGCTCTAACGCAGCTGTAACATGGCTGGTAACACGGCTTAAACACGGCTGTAATATGGGCTGGTAAAGAAAGGCTGTACACGGCTGTAACGCAGCTTGTAATACGGCTTGTAAGAAGGCTGTAACAACGGCTATAAAAAACCCAAATGCTGTAACACGGCGTAACACGGCTGTAATACG